ATTCACACCATATCTGGAACTCACATCTATGTCTGGATTCACACCATATCTGGAACTCACATCTATGTCTGAAATGTCCATGTCAGGAACTCACGTCCATGTCAGGAATGACATCCATATCTGGAATTCACATCCATGTCAGAAATCCACATTCACGCCCATATCTGGAAATCACTTCCATGACTGGAATTCACGTCATTTCTGGAATTAAAATTATGTCTGGAATTCACATCCATATCTGGAATTCACATCCATGTGTGGAATTCACACATATGTCAGGAATTACATCCATATCTGGAATTACATCCATATCTGGAATTACATTCATGTCAGGAACTCACACCATGTCATTAATTCATCCTTCATGTCAGGAATTCACGTCCATATCTGGAACCACACCATATTTATCTGAATCCACACCATATCTGGCTCCACATCTGGCTCCACATCTGGATCCACATGTCGTGGTGTAATTTCCCAGGCACAACACGGGTACCTTGACCGTCTTTCATTGGTTCCCCTAGAGAACGGCCAGCAAAGACTGCTGCAATTGCGGGCTCTACAAACAAATTGAGTCGTACGATGACAAGGTGAGTGGTGACTCCAACGGAATTCCCTGGGACATGTACGCAATATATATTGGCCAATGCTACGTACTACTCGTTCCGCGGTGGATCCCCAGGAAAAGAGCACAGACCCTTCATGTCCACAATTCCCTTGGCCCACATCGGCTTACCAAGGCTGCCGATCTATAAACTACCTGCTTCAGTCAAGAACAGGCCGCCTGGCCCATATTGTTTTTCTTTCCAGGCCCATTCTCCTTCCCTAAAGAATAAAGCTATAACTAATATATCAAAATTATTAATAATATAATATGTATTAGATGGTATAGATGATATTTCATTATGAGTTATAATATTTGTCATAACTTATTTGTGAGATTACATAATAAACCTGGTATTATTAAATCTTCCTTCATATTAGATCTTAATTAATATAGTCAATAAATATTTAGAAATCTTTTATATTTTGTTCGTGTTTTTGGTGGTTAACAGATACTTATAAATTATCTATTCCCCATAGATAGTAACTGTATATTTTTTATTATATCTATTAATGCTTTGGTAAATTTAACTTATAGATCATATAGAGATAAACGCTTATAAATCTAATCGAATTGTTCGATCTATTATTATTTATGTAAAAGAGTTTACTTATTCTATTTGATTTTTTAATGGATAATTTATGAAGAGATAGTCCAATATATATATAAATGGCTTTCTATACTTAAGCCTATTAATATATAAATACTGGTCTAGGAAAGTTATATATATAAATGTCGATCATATAATTTAGTCTCCCCGAAGGGGGGATATAATTTAATAATAAGTTCGATTATATATTAGCATTCTGATAATTGGGTTATATATAGAGGTATTAGATAGCTAGCTAGCTAGCTATTAAGTTAATGAATCCTTTTATTGAAACATAACCTTAATTTTATATATCATAATATATATAATATAACTCAATTCTTATATGATTTTATTCTGTGGTCATGACCATAGTCATATGACATATAAATCTTATATATTGAATATATAAGAAAATGGGAATTGGCCAGGCTGAGGATATGAAACTTGATGAGTTTGATCAACTGCAGAAGGAGTCTGAAGATGAAAATCTGATGTTCGGTAATTTAGTTAGTTCTGGTGGGCAGGACAGAACTCCTTCGATCTGCCGGGTCGCTGGGGCCGCGCCCTACAGTCGGCCCTCGATATCACGAAGTAATAATAATAATACTTCTATTTATGTAGTACGTAATTATACTTTTCCTATTTAGCTCGCTCGAAAATGCGATGGTACAATAATTATATGTTTAACTATCGTATTGTTTATATAGCAGATACTTCTAATACTTCTTAAAATTTAATAATCCTCTTGCATAATATTAGATTCTTGAATGATTATATTCAATCATTCTGTAAGACATGTAAATTATACAACTATGCGGTTAATTAAGTTGATTAAATTTAAGAATAGTTAAGATATATGTGAAATGAGATTATAACAAAAAACAAAACTAAATTACCAACAACTTTTGATAATAAGCCCCCCTATATCTTCCATCGGATTATATAGTATTTAGGGTTATAGGTTTATAACTATTCATATAAGATTATGTTTGTCTA